CTTATAACCTTAAGGCAGTGTTTTATGCCTTAAGTCTTTGTCTTATGTAACGCACAATACTGTGTTAATGTTTCCTGTCTTGTGTAGTATACGTCGCGTATACTACACAAGACAGGAAACATTAACACAATATTGTGCGTTACATAAGACAAAGACTTAAGGCATAAAACACTGCCTTAAGGTTATAAGACAGCCATTCTGCTTAGGCCCTAACCCAGATAGCACAGCTGATCTTTATGAATTCATAAAGATCAGCTGTGCTATCTGGGAACATATTCTGTATTTTCGGAGCTGATGAGCAGTCGGCATTTGCGAATACTAATTGCATACGTGTTCTGATGCAGATTGCATATCAAAAACCTCGCTTAACTTCCGATGCAGTTCCGGCAATATTCCTCACGGAAGGTATTTTTTTATTTACCGATTTCATCTAAATATATAGATCTCAATTTTCCGCTTGAATTAATGCTCCAATTATTATTGTAGGTGAATTTGACAAGTCGACCCTTCAGCAATAAAACAGAAAATGAGGCGTCGATGGACCTGGATTCATCACAGCAGGAACAGGAAGTTGCAATTACTAGTTGCGAGATGATAGCGCATGACCCATCGCAACAAGCTTCAAGTACAAAATATGTCAAAGCTAGTGAGATGATCCTCGACGCAACAATAGAATTGCAACAGCCATGCGTACCAATGCCAAGAGCATTTGTGATGGATGGAACAAGCAAGGACTCTGAAATGGAGCATGATCTTGCTTCAAACATCGAAGGTACGAAGGTACAAACAAAGAAATCAACGCTCTCCAATGTCAAGAAGTCGTCGCCGGCATCAACTGTCCGTAAACTACAAGTTTCGACTGTTTCCAGTGAATGTTATTTTAAAAAGTTGTTATTCGTCCGTTTTTCAATATTTTTCAATGTATTCTATTTTTACGAAGTCTTATTGTATACAGATATCAGCAATGAAAAAGGCGTAATTACTTTGCCGCTAACATGGAGCATTAGTCAAGCACCTGTGAAGCTCGGAATAGAAATTATACTCTGTCAAATAAAGACGTTGATGGAAAACGACAAAAAAAACTTAGCAGTTAAAAAGTATATTGTCATCGCGGATTGGAGCGAAAATGATTTCAAGCATTTGCAAAACAATTATACTGATGTAATGTTTTGTAAACGCTATATGTTGTTCTCGCTGAGATACTCTTTTAATATATTATTTGATGGGATATTTCAGGATATCTGTGCAAGCAAGTCCTTCGTCGATTTAAGTCCTGTCCTATTTGCTCCGAGGCTGTCCTTAAGCCCGATAAAAATCCCATACCTGAGTCAATGCTGGTAGACCTGCGATCTCGAGGAGGATTAATTCACTCGAACCTCAAATTTTTTAATTTGATTCGTTACGTCGAAGAGTGTTTCGCGAAGCATGCCAAATCGTCCGAAGTCTTCGATCTAACAATCGAGGAGGTTCTCTCTAATTATAATTTTACATTCCCGTGTAAAGATCATGCCTCGGAGATTCTCTCTTATGCACTCTGTTACTATGTAAGGTTGAGGATGCGCCAATTTACGTACCAAGAAAATCAAAAACTCAAAAAGAAATTTGTACCTCAAAGGAAATTGTCGAAATTGTGCAATCAATAAAAAAAGTTGAAAATTTAAACCATATGTCACCTGCCATTCTAACCATGTCACAACGGACAAGTACGCATGCGCGTCGATGATCCTCCGATCGACACGACTAGTGCGGAGACGGAGCGAACTACCGAAAAAGGCTTTGTTTAGCGAGACACCCCCACCACCATCAAATGATGCGAGTTTCCAGACCTGAGTAGAAGACCGTGCCACGCACTCATCATCCCTACGGCTATCTGCCGCCCTAGCCAATCACATTTACTTATAGACGCCTGCGCAGCCTCGACACAGAGTCGCAGACCGATGGGTGCAGCCAATGGGTGCGTTCAGCCGATACTCCGCTAGCCTAGCAATCGTGAGCAGTCGCTCGTTTTCGCTCGTTTCTTCTCCTTTGACCCAATGGATTAAAAGGAGAGGAAACGAGCGACTACTCACGATTGCTAGGCTAGCGGAGTATCGGCTGAACGCACCCAATCAGCAGCCACCTAAGCGCATGCGCATCCGTAAGCAACTTCTTTAGGACAGTCCAGACTATGATCAACAGGCGATGATATTTCCCACAGAATATTCTTATTTGGTAGCAAGCATCAGAAAGACAGCAATTGCACGTAGCAAGCATCAAAAGACATGCTAATATCTGCAACAAAAAAACCCGAAGGCCGCTCACGGCAGAAAATAAATCCACTCAAAACAGGAACAAGCACACAGCGTGACACAGTTGATACTTACTCCGAGAGAGAGAGAGAGA